CGCCCCGCTCCTCACCACGGTGGTGCAGGACCTGGGGCTGCACGACGGCATCCGGCGGGTGCTCTTCGGCAACAGCCTGAGCTTCTGGCTGCACAAGCTCATCTTCGTGGACGCCGTGTCCTTCCTGACGGGGCGGCGGCTGAGCCTGTCCCTGGACAGGTACCTGCTGGTGGACATCGACGACATCTTCGTGGGGAAGGAGGGCACGCGGATGAACGTCAGAGACGTGAAGGTAAGGACGCTGGTCGCTAGCGTCGTCGTTTCCGTTTCTCTAACGCGGTCCAGGCAAAGTGTGATGCGAGTTCTTTAGGCTCCTCGCTCCCCGGGAAGGTTAAGGCGCAGCAGGTTTGAAGGAAACGAGCCATTTAGCAAAATCTTGGACTAAGGCTCACGTAGAAACAGTCAAACCCGTAAAGAATGCTTGTGAGTTGATTTGAGCCAGACGGTCGGCAGTTGACGGGAAGCAGAGTCTCAATGGATTGGGGTAGTTTTCCGGGGAATGACGGCTTTCGCCTTGTTTAATACACGACAATCAAAGCAGGAGATGTCGGTGGGTCACATGAAATCCCTTGGTGAGAGACTAGGGGGGCGGGAGGAAGCAAAGCGGGGAACCTCTGCGATTGGGTAAAAGGTAGGTTGATGGACACCTGCTTCTTTAACTTAGGGGGGTGCCGGGTAGTTATCAGTCAGCAATTACCATGATGGCTACAGTGAGGGAAGTTACAAGCGACCCTGACATTTCACAGGGCGGTTATCTTAGATGCAGAAAGACCATAGACAGGCTCAGTTAAGGACAAGGTTGACCGTGTCAGGGAAGATACCGGCCTAGGCGTGGACTACCCCCCATCACTGCTTTTAGTTCAAGTTTAATTTCAGGCCGTCCTTTGTGGTCACGGTAGGTCTCTGAGTTTGTGAGGCCGCCACCCAGGCCTCCCCTGTGCTTGTCAGGGTAGCGTGTGGCCCCTCTTTGCGTCCACACCCCCCACACCGGGATGATTCTGCGGGGCTGGAGCTGAAATATCTGAGCTGATCCCTGCCTGGCCCCTCACTTCGCCGCTGCGGCACCGGCCAGCCCCCTTCTCTGGCCCTGCTGACCTGTGGCCCTGGCACCAGTGCGCCCCAGAGCTACCCTGGGCGGCTCCCTGGCCCTGTCGGGCCTGAGAATGGTGGTTGAGGCACAAGACGGAGAAACAGCCTGGACCTGGCTGGACCCCAGGGGAGCCCGGCGTTCGCGCATGAACCGCCGTGCCCTGTGGGTGCAGAGATGAGCGGAGCACAGTCTGAGTCTGACAGGCGTGTGCTGGGCGGGCCCTCGAGCTCCCGCTGGGGGGGGCACCCCGCGTGGAGGTCGCACAGTGGGGGGCAGGGACACATCCCGGCTGGGGCAGACTGTGACACACTCACCCGTGACCTGTTAGAGCCGGAGCCGCTGTTACGCCGGGAGGTGGGCGGGCAGTTCTGAGGACAGTCCCCTCCCTTTGTGTCTGGATTCAGCGTCCTCCCGTGTGCCTCCCCTGTCCTGTGTGCACCTACACCCCTCCTGTGGGCACCTACCCCCTCCTGTGGGCACCGACACCCCTCCTGTGGGCACCTACCCCCTCCTGTGGGCACCGACACCCCTCCTGTGGGCACCTGCACCCCTCCTGTGTGCACCTACATCCTCCTGTGGGCACCTACCCCCTCCTGTGGGCACCGACACCCCTCCTGTGGGCACCTGCACCCCTCCTGTGTGCACCTACATCCTCCTGTGGGCACCTACCCCCTCCTGTGGGCACCGACACCCCTCCTGTGGGCACCTGCACCCCTCCTGTGTGCACCTACATCCTCCTGTGGGCACCTACCCCCTCCTGTGGGCACCGACACCCCTCCTGTGGGCACCTGCACCCCTCCTGTGTGCACCTACATCCTCCTGTGGGCACCTACCCCCTCCTGTGGGCACCCCCCCCTCCTGTGGGCCCCCTCCTGTGTGCACCTACACCCCTTCTGCGGGCACCTGCACCCCTCCTGTGTGCACCTACACCCTCCTGTGGGCACCTACACCCCTCCTGTGGGCACCTGCACCCCTCCTGTGGGCACCTACACCCCTCCTGTGGGCGCATCACTTCAGCAAAGACTTAAACCACAGAAAGAAGGCGCAGCCTGGAATCGCACAGGAATGAGGAGTGTTAGGGTCAGGTCACCTTTCCCGCTACGAGGCTCTGTTCTCCAAAGACGACTCCTCTGTACTGACTCGAGTACAAGCTGTCTTTCTCCCGCCCCCCAAGACCCGCTGTCTCCACTGTGACAGGCCGTGATCATGATGGAGAAACGAGTTCACGTTGTCCAGCCTTCCCGCGGCCTGTGAGCAGCGGCCGGGCTCCTGGGCCTGCGGGAAGCCCAGTCGGTTGGAGGGGGCCTTGCCCCGAGGGCAGTGCTGTGAGGGGTCAGTGACCCCCTGAGGCCCACCTGGACGTTCTGTTTTCTCCTGGATTTTTTGTATTTTCTATTCATTTTAATTCATTCAAACTCTAGTTTCAGTTCCATTTTTAAATCATAAACTTTAAGAGGCCGAGTGCCTCCCAGCTCCTCTGAGTGACCCTAAAGCCCTGAGGAGGGTTGTCCCCCAGCCGGCCCCCGGGGGCCGCAGGCTCTCCATCAGTCACTGGGCCACCCCGCCGCTCAGAGGCAGCGATCCCCTCCCTCTGCAGGCAGCACGTCCCTTCTCTCCTCTGCTCACACGTGGTCAGAGGTCAGCGCTGACACCTGTGACATGCCCCACGCAGAATGGCGGACGCCCACACACAGGCAGGGGATTAGAGGCGCTGTGTGTGCACGCACATGTGAGTGTGTGGGCTTGTATACGCGCGCGTCTGTGTATTGGTGTGTGTGCATGTGTGCGAGTGTGCCTGTGTGAGTGCGTGCACATATGTGAGTGTACATGTGTGTACACGGGTGGGTGGGTGTGGGTGTGCACATGTGAGTGTGTGAATCTGTGAGTATGTCTGTGTCTGTGCATGTGGATATTAATTATATATCCTACACACACACACACACACACACACACACACACACACACACGCTTTAAAAAACATCCACTTTTGTCCCTTGGTGTTGTTTCCGATTAGCAATCAGGGCAGAGTAGCCCCGAGATCGGCCCCGCGGGCTGACCCTCGGCCACGTACCGGCCAATAGGAAACAGTTTCAAGTGTAAAACTTCTGTCCTCAGGCCTGGCATCCGATTTCTGTTTTAACTGTATTTTTGGGTGAATATGGTTTTGTGGGAAAGGGTCTGAAAGTGTGTGTACAAAGTTCTGGATACTCCGTGTTCTTCTTCCTCACGTTTCTTTCCTGGGCGTGTAACGTGTCCTCAGCCCCAGGAGAGGGGAGGAGCCTGGGGTGGCTCTTCCATGTTAATATGTTCAATCCAGGGCCCGAATCCTCGCTCTCAGCACGGCTCCGCCCGTCGCTCCTTGTGTGGAGGGCCTGTTGGACGGGCACGGAGCTTTGGATTGGGTGGTTTCCAGGAGCCGGGCTGGGCAGGCTCACTGGTTTCCGCATTACAGGGCCGAAGCCACTGTGGATGACGGGGACAGAGAGCGGGAGACCGAGGGAGGGGGCAGCACTGGCGTGTATGTGTGTGGGGGCCTGTGTGTG